ATTCCAAAGGTTGTAGGTTCGAATCCCACCGCGGCCGGGCATATTTTTCAAGCTCGCCCGGTGTGGATATGCACTCAGAGTAACATCACAAACATATTATTCACCTGAGTACACAACACCAACACAAAAAAAAAAAAATTCATATTACAAGAACACATTGGTATTGAAGGAACTAGATACTGTTCCGAAATATCACTTACTCGAACCGTCCTGACCGCGTAGCTCAGTTGGAAGAGCATTGGTAGAACTATCCAGTGTAAACAACGCTAGATTTCCTCCTGTAGTAACACTGGATCAATAAGAGATGACCCTTACTGGACCTCTACGAAGAACAGTTTAGAACTGATAGAGCTATCCACTATAAATAAAGTTAGTTTAATTTAGGTTTCCTCCTGCAGTAACACTGGATTAATAAGAGATGACCCTTATTGAACCTTTAGGAAGAACAGTTTAGAAATAATAGAGCTATCCATTATAAATAAAGTTAGTTTAATTTAGGTTTCCTCCTGTAGTAACACTGGATCAATAAGAGATGACCCTTACTGGACCTCTAGGAAGAACAGTTTAGAACTGATAGAGCTATCCAGTATAAATAAAGTTAGTTTAATTTAGGTTTCCTCCTGTAGTAACACTGGATCAATAAGAGATGACCCTTACTGGACCTCTAGGAAGAACAGTTTAGAACTGATAGAGCTATTCAGTATAAATAAAGTTAGTTTAGTTTAGGTTTCCTCCTGTAGTAACACTGGATCAATAAGAGATGATCCTTACTGGACCTCTGGGAAGAACAGTTTAGAACTGATAGAGCTATCCAGTATAAATAAAGTTAGTTTAGTTTAGGTTTCCTCCTGTAGTAACACTGGATCAATAAGAGATGATCCTTACTGGACCTCTAGGAAGAACAGTTTAGAACTGATAGAGCTATCCAGTATAAATAAAGTTAGTTTAGTTTAGGTTTCCTCCTGTAGTAACACTGGATCAATATGAACAGTTTAAAACTTATTAAGTTCACCCAGCCTGTTTTCTGAAGTGATTTCTGCATTGGACAAAAGCATATTGAATTTAATAGTATTAATTTAAAATTTCCACAGATCCCATTGTTGATGCTAATGTGAAGAGTGAAGAGACGTGACATTTTTTGTACTTAAAAAACATTGATGCTAAATATAGTTTATTGTATGGAGGTACCAGTTTTAAAATACAAATATCTTGTTGTGTGAATTGCAGAATATATGTTGTGTGTTTTGTTTGCGGTTGATAATTTTACATTCATTTATGTAGATATGTGGTTTTTATGCATATCAATTTTAGAATAGCAAGATGAAGGTTAGTAGCCTCCTGCACAGACGTTGTTAGTGGCCCGAGGCCTCACCTAACGTCTGCTCACATTCGCTATACATTTGACTTCCCGGCAATTAACCAATCACAATCATCTACATGATAATTGGAAGATCGGCCTTCAATGACCTTCACACGCATGGGCTATATCAACAAGTCTGTAGTATTTTTAAATTTGAAAGTTTTACAGTAACACTGCGCATTAGAAAAAGGCTTTTCAGTCTATTATAAACGAAAAGGATGTTTTTGTAAATCTCACAACTGACGCAGGAAATCACTTATTTATCACGCCGTTACCGAAGCTATTCGATGTAATATTCGGATTTAAATATTTAAACAAATTGTAAACATTGTAAACATTTAGTAATCGTGATTTCGTCATTGATAAATTCAATACGATCGTGATCAAGTAAAAAAATTACACGATCTCGGAGTCGGTGCTGTGTCATTATTAAGTTTAATCGAGAGCGATAAAGAAGCGAAGACATTGGAAGATGGGAAATATTCTGACTGTATTATATGGCACAGCAGAGTCATTGCTGAAGACAAAGACAAAGTGTATGGCAGAATGGTTTGTGCTTTGGCTATTGATGCATGAAGCTCATTTCAGTATGTATTATAATAAATCCTAAACATGTGTTTGCATTTGCAATTCTCAAAGCCACAGCAATCGATCGGCTTTGACCATTTTAATAGTCGTTATTTTATATTGTCTTGATTTATACGTTGCCTCGTATTATCTATTGCACGTAGCACCAGCAAGTTTATGAGCCATTCTAGTTAATATACATGCCCCAACCCTCTGATGTAAACCCTTCATAATTGCCCTCATATAAATTTGCATGCTAGTACTACATGCAAATAGATAATACGAGGCAATGTATAAAAAGACAAATTCAATTTAAATAAACAATATAAAATATTATTGAATAATGACTATTAAAATGGCCAAGCCCGATCGATTCCTGTGTCTTTGGGAATTACAAAAGCGAACACATTTTTAGGATTTATTATAATACATACCATTCTTTAATCGCATGAGCTTCATGCATCAACAGCCAAAGCACAAACCATTTTGCTATACGTACAATTTGTTGAAGCATTCGTTTCCATCGTTCGGTCTTCAACAATGACTCTGCATATAATACAGTCAGAATATTTCCATTCTTCCAATGCCTTCGCTTCTTTATCGCTCTCGATTCAACTTAATAATGACACAGCACTGACTCCTAGATCGTGTAGTTTTTTGACTTGATCTCGTATTGAATTTATCAACCGAAACCACGATTACTAAATGTTTACAATGTTTACAATTTGTTTAAATATTTAAATCCGAATATGACATCGAATAGCTTCGGTAACGGCGTGATAAATAAGGGATTTCCTGCGTCAGTTGTAAGATTTACGACAACATCCTTTTCGTTTATAATAATAGATTGAAAAGCCTTTTTCTAATGCGCAGTGTTAAAACTTTCAAATTTAAAAATACTACAGACTTGTTGATATAGCCCATGCGTGTGAAGGTCATTGAAGGCCGATCTTCCAATTATCGTGTAGATGATTGTGATTGGTTAATTGCCGGGAAGTCAAATGCATAGCGAATGTGAGCAGACGTTAGGTGAGGCCTCGGCCACTAACAACGTCTGCGCAGGAGGCTAGATTAAAACGTGCACAAAGCGTTTAGCTTAAAAATTCTTGGAATAAAAGTTAATAATCTTTTTCAATAAATGTCCAAATCTCATACCAATATTTGTAATATTGGTAATCGTAAATTTTTTTAAAAAATATTCGTCATTCGATATCGGAATTTATTAAAAATTGCAAGACAATGATTTTCCCCGAGCCGGCGGCGCGAAGCGCCGTGCGAGGGTACTAATTCCCCCGGCTATTTACACCCGGGGAAACGAAAGCATTAGGGAAGTCTGAAGTTCATCAATGAGCGCGGGCGTCGGTCACCAACGATGGGTGGTCATCCTCACTGATCTCAAAAATATGGCGGACTGTCATTAAAAGCGGACACTGATTGGTCCAATTTAAAGTTTGCATTATAACGGCTGCATGACGACAGCGAAATAGCAAACATTTGACATTTCTTGATTTGATGAGTTGATGATTGATAAATTTCTTGCAAATATTCTTCATTTTTGCCCGTATTTCTGCAAGATTTTATAAATTTCAAGAAAGAAAGGGCGAAAGAATCAGCTAAAAGAAGGGAGCCGACGTTAACAAAGGTAAGTTTGTTTTAAATATTGATTTTATAATGGCTTTAAAACCCGACGGCCTTTGCGTATATGAAACAACAAAACAAGACAGCATATATAAATTTAAGTGTAACTTTAATACTGATTCCCTTTTTTATTATATTGAATTTTTTAAATAAAAATCACCGTAAAGCAAAGACCAAAGTTATTTGCAAGCGAGAATTTGAAATCATTTTATTGCAAACTCAAAGTTTATCGATAAAGCCATTTAATAGTTAAAGGCAGTTTAGTTTTATAAAGAACACTTTAAAACATTTTGTGAATTGTTTGTGGTTGAATTTTACCTTAAATTGAAGCTTGTATTACGTATAATTACATACCTAACATAAATATGTTGGGAAATTGATAATTTTGTAATTAAAAGTGATATTTTTGGGCGATTTTCATTTGTAAGAATATTCTTAAAAAATTATCGTGTTACCATGACAACTACTTTAGATACTTCATGTCCGGAAAATACAACGGTTTTGTCAGCAAAGCGAGGGTTTCTGCATGCATGTATTTTCTAGTAGCATTATACATAAGAATATTTCTTGATATTATAGAAATCCGAGAATTTGGCTAATGATGACTATGTGTTGCCATGTTACCAGCATTTGCAGTTTAGCTTGTTCTTGCAATAGCATCATTGTCCGAAAGTCTTATTGTGATACCTTACATAGTTTTTGAGATATTAGCCGCGGGCACTTAATTCCCTCTGCAAAGTCTCAGAAAATATTAGTCCAACAAAAGAAAAATAAAGGGAGAACGAAAAATTATTGTTCGTTCTTATAGCAAATGGGCAAGTAAATTTCATTTTAAAATATATATTTTATTACATATTCTTACTATGATATATATTACTATATTGACCCTTGCCTGATTGGAATTGAATACTGCCCCGCCATTTGTACAAATACAACAAATTCCTTCGTTTTCACGCAAGGGATGACGGTATTTTTGAGCACTAAATACTCGATTTTCTGTCAAATCTCCTCTTATAATTGACAGAAGAAACACGCAAAATCGAAGAACTTGAACGAAAAGTTGCGCAATATGCTGGCTAACGTTGCAGTGCTCATATATCCTTGCCCTTGATCCTTTTGAAACTACCTAATTGTTTTCATGGCAACGAGAATATTTTTTGATGTTTCTCTTTTTCGTTATCATTAACATTGAGGCAATGTTGTGCGCGAGTCTCGTAACCATACCTTGCAAACCGAGGAAATAATGGGCCTCTTTCATGCGTGAATTAGCATCGAAACGTCGTTATAAAATAAAACTTATATGGTTACGTTTTTTTCAAAATTAATTTGAAAAAAAATAATCAATAAGTACTAATTCCGCCCGGCTATTTACCCCCGGGGAAACGAAAGCATTGGCGAAGTCTAAAGTTCATAAATAATCGCGGGCGTGGATCACTGGGCGTGTTTCGGTGGGTGGAGTGGAAAAAGGAGTAATTAGGCGCCGACGCGCGTTAACGAAGGTAAGTTTGTTTTAAATATTTATCTATTGTTCGCTTTATAATTGCTTTAAAAGCTGATCGTTGCGTATATTTTGAATAAAAAAGAGGGCATATAATTTCAGTGTTTCTTTATTGATTACCCGTTTTTATTATATTAAATTTTTTAAATAAAAAAGAAAGCAAAGTTTTTTGAATGCGAGGAATTTGAAATTATTATATTTCAAACTCAAAGGTTTTCGATAAAGTTATAAAGGCAGTTTAGTTTTATAAAGAATATTTTAAAACGTATGGCGAACATAGATATCTTATATACACTAGATAGTGCATCTAATTATTCTGCAATTCAAAAATTGAAGCCGTGATTGCAGTCTCAGGTCGTTCCCATGAAATGAGAAGATTCGTATATTTCCTATTTCTTAAACAGGGAATTAAATATTAAGTTAACCCTATTCCAAATACATTTTTAAAGTATTAAAATTATGAAAGTTATTGTTGTTTTTAAGTGTTTATTAGCGAGTGGGAACGACCAACATGGCCGCCATCTATTCAAATGGGGGTAACCGCTGGAATATTCTTGGCTTCAGTTTTACTAAAAGAGATGCGCTATTTAGTGTATATAAGATATCTATGATGGCGAAGCGTTTGAGGTTGAATATTACGTATAATGACATACCTAAAATATATATGTTTGGGGAATTGATAATTTTGTAATTAAAAGTGATATTTTTGGAGGATTTTTCATTTGTAAAAATATTCTTAACAAAATTATCGTATTACCATGACGTAACAACTACTTTAAATACTTCATGTTCGGAAAATACAATGGTTTTGTGAGCATGCATGTATTTTTTAAGTAATACAACTGATTTTAAAAATATTTTTGTTGTTTTTGGTCGTTTTTGTTTTATTGTAGCTACGTGATTCACCTTCATTTCGGTGAATAATTGTTAATTAAAGTGATTCTTTTCTCTGCCGGGAGAATCACTTGCTTGCATTGCGCGGTATTCGTCTTTTTCTGGATTTTCAAATACACAAATGATCAATGAAAATAGAACACAACTGATCTGCTGGATAAATAAGAATACAAAGAAAAGACGTCATCCAACGTTTGGAGTCTTTCTTCTCAAGTACAGTAACTCTTACATACATGCCCAGAACACTTAATGGCTAAAGGTTTGTATAGTTTGTGTTCAAACTAACTTTATGCTCCGCGTTCTATATCATCCTACCTTGTTTTCAAACTACTCACCGCTTCATTTCCTATGTTACCATATTTCCAGGAGACGTCTGTTCCCTCTTTAGTCGTGAAATTACACTCGTCGTAGTCGTAGATGAAGCTTTCAGATTTTTTGGTCGGAAGAGAAAATGTCCTTGGCAAAGGGACTGGAGCTTTTGAAAATTTTCTGCCACTTTGAACTATAATCTCAATTTCGACATCCATTTCCTTTTCAATCATTTGCAACTGCTCCTTCCCGGCTTGATCAAGAAACAGTCTTTTAATTCCAGGGTATTCTAACTTTTTCTCTTGCTCTACTATCGTTGCAGCGAACTCCGTCAGACGTTGTTTACACTGTTCTATGCCTTCGTTGAAGCCACGCACAAGGAATTGCTCATAATCGTCAGACTCCGTGATTTCTATCGAAATACTATACTGCTCGAAATCTTTCGCTATTTTCTTGACATTTTCACAGTCGCGAAGAAAGTTCCAAATGTGCTCGGAAACCTGAGGTCTGTGTGTATCACTGTGTATTCTGTCTGTTTTGATGAAGTCATAAATTTGTTTGGTAGCTCCTGAGATATCTTCGTATACGCCGATAATTCTAACTGAATTTTCTTCCGGTAAAACATCTATTTGCACCAAGGCGCCACGCTGTAACTTAGAGATCAACGATTGAAATTTATCAGATTGTACGGAGCAGTCTGCAGTGATAGACAATGTATCCTCTTTTAATATTTCAAACAGAATTTCAAACGCTCTTTCACATTCTTCTTGACTAAATCCAAGAATCATTAATGCATTTGATGGACCGACACACACCTAAATCCAATAAAAGATTGCAATAGTACTGTATTATGTGTCTTGCAACTTACATTTAAGGTTATATATACAGGGTGTCCCAAAAAACCCAAAACTATTGAAATAACGTCTTGTTAGAATTTGAATGCCTCAGCACTCTGCTGACTGCAAAGATGCGTAAAATATTGACAAGGGTGCATATATTAAATATTGACTTATTAAGAAATTAAAATATCTTTGTAAAGCCCACGATTTTCTGCTCTTGGGAATGTAAACGTCAAGCTTTGATGCACGTGTGGGTTCAGCAGAGTACTGAGGCATTCAAATTCTAACAATACGTTATTTCAATAGTTTTGGGCTTTTTGGGACACCCTGTAGAGCATCACTTACTTTAGCTTTTATGTTTTCTTTACAAAGTTGTCTGGCGAAGTACTCATTCCATCGATTCTTCGCGACAATATTCCAAACTAAGTCTGACTGAGATAACGTTAACTGCTTCTCACAAATTTTGTGTAGTTGCTCATTTATTATGACAGTCGCGTCCACTACTTGAGAAACTGGACCTTTGAGGTCGATCTGGCCGTATTTGTGACCGATGAATGCAACCAAATCAGGATAATACTTTTTTAGATCTCTTCGGAGGTCAGTATGCTGCAAGAACTCTATGTATTCATGCTTGACTTTGATCGTTTCATGCACGTTCTTTTTTGAATTTTGAAGCAGTTCTTGAAGCACATTTATGAACCTCTTCTTATGAGATATTCTATTTCTTTGAAACTCTTTCGATTTGTAATCCATTACTACTTTATTCAGGAAAATTAACCGCTAAACGTATTTGACATGTGTATCCATACATGAATTCATGTAATCATTCAGGTAGAATTCTATAAAACAAATCGTAAAAGTCGTTATGCCGGGAATGGCGTATAAATACAGCATGAGCTCCTGCACCTTTGAATTTACTATATGAGTAAATTCTTAAACACGTCCGAATTTATCATTATGATAAATTCGCGGCACCTAACACTAACCCTAACCGCAACCCCAACCACTAACCCCTAACCCTAACTTTTTTAACTTTTCAAATTTTTTTAACTTTTTTAACTTTTTTAAAAATCTAACTTTTTAATTTTTTTTTGCTTTTTAAAACTCTTCTAAAAACTATTTTTTTTAAAAACTATTTTTTTTAAAAACTTGAAAATCTTTCCACCCCCACTGGCCCAACCTCCCTTTTAGTGCCTTTCATGGTGCCATTACATTTACAACAAGAAGTCTTGTCTAATGCTTGTGGTTTCATGATTAAATCTATTGATAAATTCAAAATGTGCCTCGAATTTATCATAATGATAAATTCGGACGCGTTTAAGAATTTACTCATATAGTAAATTCGAAGGGGGAGCTCGTGTTGATAAATAATACATTCAGGGCTACCGCAGCAAAACTTTATTATTCTTACACGAACATTCAAGCTTGTGAGCAGGAAAATTGTGTAATTTAAGATCGTTGCCATAAATAAACATTGCTATTCAAACACCATGGAAAATCATCTTTATCTCATGCTCATGTTCATCATTGCCCTTTCGGGGGGTAAATTTCAGGACAGATCGAATCAGGGGCGTAGGAAGTATCAAAAGGTCGGGGGGGGGGACCGTTTCGAGGGGGGCCGGATATATTATTGAAACAACGAAATGCTCAAGGCCGATTACCATTACGATTAAAGGCAATTTTCCATTGCAGTCGCTTTGCTCACGCGGGCGTGACGATCGTCAAAAACAATAAACGCATCGCCCGCGCGTGCAAAGCGGGCGTTAATGGAAAACGGCCTTAATGGATTTTGCCGCTTGGGACGAGCGATCTATACGAGTCACGTGTGTAATTAGTTGCGCGTACATGGCACGAAAATTGAATGCATTTACTACACAAGTAAAAAACACAAGTTGTTACAAGTCTGCAAAAAAGTTGTTACAAATCTGATCATAAGCTGTCAACATTGTCTTCCACTGCTTGTTATCAGTTGTTGCAACAAGTTTGGAACAAGCTGTTAACAACTTGTAACAAGCTTGGTGGCATTATCAGACTTGTCACAAGGTTGTTGACTGTATCGGACGTGTTGGAACAACCTTGTAACAAGCCTGATAATATCAACAAGGTTGTTACAAATTGTCATAGGCGTATGGGCTGATGCTTTCTAGGGGAGCAGTTAAAAGTTTGCCTGAATTTTTATGAATTACCTGAATTTAACCTATTTTCTGATAAATCTGCCCGAATTTTCTTGATTTTTCCTATAGCATTTGCCCGAATTTTTATGGTTTTCCAAACTCGTACGCCTATGCAAATTGTTAACAGCTTGTTCCAAACTTGTTGACACTGCGAAGACAACTTGTTGACAGCTTGTTGACAAACTTGTTACAAGATGTGAGATTTTTGCGTGTGTAGTTGAAAACCTGCAATTGTTTTTGCTTTTAATTTCTTTATCTGAAACGGTACTGATTGGGTGATATGCGAACTGAAATATAGACATATATAAAGATTAATTAAGCACCATCTAAATTTATGTGACAGGAGGTTTGGCCGACAGACATTTGGCCGACAAACATAAACCGACAAACGTTTGACCGACAGGATTCTTCACCGACAGACATTTAGCCGACAGCATATTTGGTCGACAAGACATTTAGCCGACAGGACAAATGGCCGACAAGACATTTAGCCGACAGGACATTTGGCTGACAAGGCATTAGGCCGACAGGACAATTCACCGACAGGATTTTTTATTTCGAGTTTATTGATTTTTCTAAAATAATGCTCACGGGCAATGATGACTCATTGGATGACTCATACTCGTCGTGCAGAGTTGTTTCGCGGTCTCAAAGCAGTGTGAAAACAAAAAGATCACTTATTTGTTGGTCAATAGGATGACTCCATAGCTATCTTATATAAACTAAATAGCGCATCTCTTTTAGTAAAATTGAAGCCAAGAATATTCCAGCGGTTACCCCCATTTGAATACATGGCGGCCATGTTGGAGTTTCCCACTCGCTAATATTAAACGCGTAAAAAACAACAATAACTTTCATCATTTGAATAGTTTGAAAATGTATTTGGAACAGGTTTAACTTAATGTCTAAGTTCCCTGTTTAAGAAATAGAAAACATACGAGTCTTCTCATTTCATGGGAATATCCTGAGTCTGCAATCACGGCTTCCATTTTTGAATTACAGAATAATTAGATACCCTATCTAGTGTATATAAGATATCTATGGATGACTCATAGGTTCTGGTTCTGTGATGGGATCTTTGATACTGGTTCTGTGATAGGACTTTTGACAGTGCCCCAGAAGGATGCTATAGCCAGTGGCGTACATGGAGGAAGAGGGGGCACTTAGGCATATGTTCTCTGAGCAACTTTTGCATACTCAAATAACGATTTAACAGTTGAATACTTTGATTTGTATATTCTAATTCTTTCTGTTATAAATGCACTGCAATTTGTTCCCAGCGCATATAACCCATCATCATATATTGAATGATAACAGGTACTTCGACCTTGATAATTTCGGATATCACAAAACCTCATCCAATAACTGTTTTATTATACGGCAATTGAACGCAGCATTTTGATCGGTTCCTGAGCGGTCTGTAAGCTGCAAGATGGACCTCTCAAACAAATATCAACCTTTTACAACCTACCAACAAATATCAACTTTTTACACGACCAAAAATGAAATATTTCCTTTTTACATTAAACATTTTATTTAAATGTTTCCTACCATATTTCTTCTCCCTCCAACAAGAGATTCACGCGACTAGACCCAAGACTTTGGGAAATGGCTAATTGATTTGAAATTCCTCTCAGAAACATTACCTTATTTTCCACCTTTAATTTATGAAAAATGTGAAAAAAAAGCCTTCCAAAATAATTACGGAGCTTAAGCAAACGACGTTTTTGTCAACACGAATGTCAGATGCACAGGGGGACTGGATTAAATTGTTTTTGTGTCAGTTTGTGGTAATCTTCAACACATATGACAAAAGATAAGGTTTTTAAAGTTCCTTGCTTCCTTAATACTGTACATGAGCGCTACGATGCAAAATGCCTCACTAAATATTAGTGATATTAATTTTCGGTTGACTTCTTTTGCCCACGCCACTTCACGTTATTTCCGGTGTCTCTGCGAGTAAGTTTCTTTTTCACAAAAGTATGCAGACATTTTAATTTGTGAAATTTATATCTGCACTAGAATGGACCAGCAGGTGGTAATCTCACTAATATGCAAAACGTGCATCGAGTCTTTATAGTTAAATATTAAATGTCTGAAGAAATCTGTCTTTCAAACATTTGATGTACCATGTACTAGCCAATAGCAAAACTGTTCTAAACTTGTCGGATTTTGACAGCTGTGTCGTAAATTCATGTGTTGCAAAACATTGTAAATTGGACATGTAGTATATATTTGATCCGACGTTATACATTTAATAAAATATTTCAAATATGCATATCATATACGGTGGAGACTGTAAATAATTATATGTTGATGATCTCTTTCCCACTTTCCATTGTCACATCTGGGATTAATACGGCATTCATTCCTTAATACAATCTAAATAATTTCAGTACATAAAACGAGGCTTCAACTAAGTAAACTTAAGGCGCGACACTCTATTATAGCAAATCTCGAACAGTCGGTAGTACCAATGTATAGTGAGCGACGATAACAATTAGTAGAACCGCTGCGGATTGGGAGTGGTACAACGACCTGAAAGATATAAGCAAAATGTTAAAGTCAGTTTGCTTATTTTTCAGGTAGTTGTAACCTAATTGCAAATTGATTCCTTAAGATCAACTTCTGTTGTCGTTTCATCTGTCACAAGCCAATATAGATTTTGTATTTACGCATACGATTGTCGATTGCCGAATCAAAGGTTTCTAATTCCCATTCCAGTTTAAAATTATGCACAAACGCAACATTCAATATTGTTAATATTGCGTGGCAGGTTAATAAGTTTAATAAACGACATACTGTATGTGTAGTATAATTTAATATTTAACAGAGATGAGCTAACCTGTAGGAGCGGTGCATGGCATAAAATTTGACATTAAATCATACAACTTACTTGATTACTTACCAATGCAACTTCAATTAACTTGTTGATTGATATATTTGTGTCGTTTATTTCATCTCGAAGCGCACCCATTCGACAGATGTCTATTATAACTCGCTATTGAATCGCGTATTCTTGGTATTCCCTGAATTATTCCAGCGAATCAACAAAACGAAACTAATTATCTCTTGCAGAAATAACCGATGCGTGTGAAACCTCTGAACCAGGAAAACGCAGATGTTCACATTTGGAATCTTAGTTGTATTTTGCAATATACAGTTAATTAAACAAAATTAATAATGAATGTTTATGAGTGCAATGACAACACCCAAATGGAATGAAATGGAAATTTTCATTTTTTTACCGAAAAAGATAGTTTTACTATTGCACGAATGAAAACATTCATTATTTGTTTTCGATATTGCACCGACGTTATCGATATGATGTTCTATTCAGGGACGTTTTTGAGAATTTGTCACCACAATACTATACTAGCTAAGTCTGGGAGAGATCGTTGTTGGTGACAAAAGGTTTGCTGTAGTGCCGTATCATAGTGACGTTGTTTAGCCTATTGTCTTCAACAATTCGAATTTATAGGGATATGCAATCTACAGGGAAATTTTTAAAATCTAAGGTATTTACAACACAATGTTTAGCATTTCTAAAAAACTCGAAATAAGATAAAACACATGCAGACATAAGATTCACTGAGCAAGGTTCAGTAATTAGAATACCAAACCTTCCTTCTAAATTCAATTTTTGTTGCAATGTTTTGCTTATATATTTGATGTTTAAAATTAAAGGAAATCCAACAATTTAAATATGCTCCAAAATTTACAAAAATGTTTTATTGAAGAGTTAATGTAATAATACACAATTATTGAATATTTGGAAAACTCCATCTTAATTTCACCGAATGAAAATATTTTTACTGTTCAACCAATGAAAAAAATCCTTTGTTTTATACCACACCAGAATACTGAAAATTGATATATTTTATCAAATTTTTAAGTGAATTAAATACAAAATAAATACATACCTCAGATACATTTGCATTGTTCAAGAGTAATTGGAATCCAACAAAAATGCCAAAAATGTTTTAGTTTAGTGGAGAATCAATACGACAATTGTGGTAATTTAATAAATCTACATTGTCGTAAAAATATTAGGCCTACATTCTATTAACACCAGCCATTTTGCTTCGCACGAGTTAAATATTTGAATTTAATTCCATCGGTCTCAGTATGAAAATTATAGTTAATTAAAGCTACGATTACGATACAAATAGGATTTTGAATGATTGATTTAAATAAAATCTTGCCGTGCCATGGAACAAATCGTATAGTACGAAAATGCACGGCTGAGGGTGCAATAGTACATGCACGTACTACTCCACGTACTATTTCCATATCACATATGTGATCATAATCAGCCAATATATGATTCCAGCTATAGACGGAATTTGATCTAGATGGTAATGACCATAGCTGGAAAGAGCATCTTAAAATGAATAAAATTGCAAAGTTTGGTTGCAAAATGTTGTAAAATAAGGGAAATATAGCCCTATGAAGTTCACAAATTTTTTATATATTTGTATTACGCGCGGGAAATATAACCATTTTTGGGCCGAAGGTGATTTTAATTGTCAAAAATCCGCCAGCATTTCGATTCTCTAGTTCCATGCACCCAACAAAAACAAAAATACCACTGTGTAATGTAACGTAACGTAACGTAACGTAACGTAATGTAATGTAAAAATTTATTTCGAGAGGATAAACGCGTGACAGTTAGTTATAAATGAAAAATTTGCATTGCTGCCCTCAAATTCAGCTTTTAAAATTCTTTACATATCAGTAATATTTTTTTTCATTTATAAACATCAGTAATCAGTATTTCTTAACTCATTTGTATGCAAATGTTCATTAAAAAATTATTTTAATTGTTATTTATAGCTCACTCAAACAAATACAAGAATACCTAATAATATCGTAAAATCTCTCAGATTTGATTTTGTTGGTAACTCGCATAATTAATTAAGTCACTCATCGTTAAACGTATGGAAAATATTTTCATATAATTACTGTTTGATCAATGCGTGGAAACATTATAAAACACGTATGAATTATGCACTTCTATAAATCGAAACACAATCTGAAGATTACTCAAGATAGGGCTAAAACAAGACGAAAATGATATTTTATTTCAACTTACTTACTAAAGTTACAATAGAAACAAAATATTTTATACAAGCTGGTATGGTATCAAGACCTTCTACAATTTGTAACTTTAGTTAGTCTGATGATAACTTTACTTAGTCTGATGATTGAAATAAAATCGAAATATCTGACCTAAATAAACTGTATTAACTCCTTCTCGGCTTGATTATATTTGAGTTTCATGATGCTAATCTTCGGAATCTTCGGATTATGTTTTGTTGTATACTTTTCAAAATTGTTGGCCGGTATTTCTTTTTATGCACTTCTCCGTATACCGTAATATCGTAAACATGCAATAGTAATAAGCGCGAAGACTTGCTCCTGTTACTTATTCGTCCAATTTCAATTGTCTTCCTTGACATATAACACTCGTACTGTATTTTTTACCTCTGTACTATCGTCTTTCCTGACCATCGTATAGTGATCTAAGTCAGCATTTGCACAACACAAGCATGCTTTGAGCTTCTTGTACCCTGCCTTAAGCTTGGATACCGTCATTTGACCAGAGTTGTTTTCTGGTCCCAAGATACAGCAAATTGCTTGGAAAAAGAAGGTTGCATACACCCAACTAACAGACATTACAATCATAACGAATTGTCCAAATTGAATGTAAGATAACACATTGGACTGTGAAGCGATAGCACCTGCAGAATAGAAGGTTGTACAAATAAGATGAATGTTTAATAACGAGCTATGTATTTTTTCCCTTATTGTCTCTGTTCTTTCTGGTCTTTCATGTTTGCTTTCTTTCTTAGTACATTCACATTTAATATCTTGCATTCTTTAATTTATCTACATTCCCAGCTGTCTTCCTTTCCTTCCTTGTTTCAAGCTTCCCAATTCCTCCTCTCATTCCCTTAAAACCAATGCTTCCTTTCTTCCTGACTTCCATTCTTCCTTTTCACCAAAGTTTTCCATTTTCACTTCCACCAACCCAATCATTCGTCCTTTCCTTCCTTGCATCTTTTCTTAGCCGCTTATCAGCACCTTCTTTACCATCTTCCTTCTCGCTGACTCCCACATTTTTCCTTATTCCTGCCTTCCTTCCTTTCCCTTACATCTTCCTTCCATACTTATTACTTCCTTCCTTCTCTTTTTCCTTAATTCTTTAAACTCAAACGATATTATTGTTGCTCACTACCGTACATATTTCCATACATTAGTGTACCCATTAAGTAGTGCACCTATAATAAAATTATTTTGCTATTCAATTATTTACTTTCCACATCGATTAGCTTTTGCTACCTAGTATGGAAAGTGATCGCACATATTAATTACATATTATTATCGGACTAACCTGCAATAAAGGTAGTAAACGCCGCCATGGTGACGGCCGAACTCATTCCAGTCATAGAAAATAATACTCTGGATTTCCTGTCATTCTTGTCAACAGCCAATACGTATGCAACACCGTAATGCAATGCGAAGTCGACCGATAAACCCACAGAAAGTGACAACGTAATGGACTCTATAATGTTCAACTTCCATCCCATGAGTATTAGTGAACCAACAGTCACACCCAGGGTACAAGTAATAGCAGTAATAGCAAACACACTGATATATAGATTTCCTGTTGTGAGCAGCATCACTCCAAAAGCCATAGCAAGGGCAATACTCATTGATATAACTGTTCCTTTGGATAAACTTTTCTGCAGATCGTAGAAGCGTAGCTCACTTATAAACCACCCATTCGCGGATGGCGGCGCTTTGTTAAACTCCGTAAGAGCCCAACTCTCCGTTTCTTTCCAAAAACGGTCTGCTTGATCATACGACCATGTGAATGGTACGTTGCTCTCAAACTTTAAAGAGATCGCTCTCAACCGACCATTGGCGTCGAAGAGTGGGGCACCATCTGTTACACTTTGAATCTCCTTGATTCTTTGGCATTGCATTTGTATCATGCATTTAGAAAAGATGGTCAAATTATATGGAAATGTTGAATCTTTACAACAAATTCGGTCGTTTGTCGTGCAATTCATCATCATATAGGCAAAGAAGTCTTCGATGAAACATATTTTGCCTAATTTTTTATCTTTAGGAAAAAATGGTTGCTTTTTCAACCGAGATATAAAGCTAACGATCCACTGTTGGCCCTTTTTGCTAGCTATATCAAAGTTGCTATCCCATTTTAGGCCTCCCATATCGTACGGATCAAACTGATCGCCCGTATCAGTTGCTTTGATACCCCAGACTAAGTTGATCGGAAAACTAGACGTTCTGGTTGTCTCGAAGTGAAAATTATTCTTTAATTTCAATGAGTATTTTTCTAGTATATGCGATTCGTGGAACAGTTGAAAGTCCTGAGACGTAGGAAATTGGATTCCAGGCTTTACAGTTGCGACAACTATACCACCAGTGGCGAGCAGGAAGAAAAATAGCAGCCAAAAATATCTCAACTTTATGACGATACGTGGCAGGAAATCCATAAAAAGTCCTCTATGCCATGCCACTAATTTATCGATTACTGTTCTCATTGTGTCCTTGAATATAGTTTCATGTAATTTCCCCATAAACTCAAAACAGCAACAAAACCGAGAAAATACTGTCTGTTCAATTATAACAGCAGCAGGAAACCACGTCACCATAAGAAAAAGCATGCATAGAATAGAGAGACCCGAATAGAGACCGAACAATCGAATGGATGTAATCTCTGATGTCAGACACGCGAAAAACGCTGACGATGTCGTAAAACTCGTTACAAACACTGATAAGGATGCGTGTTTCATTGTGTCTACTGTAATACTGATCAATTCCTGGTCACGCTCTTCTTCGTTTAACGGAGGTCCCTTGCGTTTCGCTCTATGTTCGCACATTGACTGAGTCCAAATGTCTATATAAACAAAAGCATCGTCAGCCGCAATACCGACCAAGATCACGGAGGTGAGAATATTCAAAAACGGGAAAAACTTTATGCCAAGTACAATGGTATACATGAAATAAGCTATAACTAAACTTGACACTACAATAAGTCCAACCAGAGATGTGATAAGGAATGAACGAGTGTACACCCAGAGAATAAACATTATAACGAGCATTGCAATTGCAGAGAGATATAAATCAGCCAACATAAGTTCGTTGAAGATTTCAGACTTCAGTTTACTCAGTTCATATCCGGATAGTATAACATTACCGTCGCTAATATCATCTTTTAGATATGACTTATAAATAGCAACTTGAAAATGTTCGTTTTCTTTAACTGGAACGAGAACAAGGCTATAGCGAAGGAATAGGCTGGAATTCGAACCATCAGACAAGAAATGTCTATCAGTAAGATAATGAAAGATATTGTAAACCGCATTGAACGTTGTGCAAGTATCTGGAACTTGACTGCATCTTCCTACTCCTTTTCCATTCTTCGCAAAATCCCAACAGTCAGATTTCAACGTGCCGTCACGGTAGTATTTGGAACATATCGTCAGTAGACTACTTGCTTTTTTCACTTCAGTTTCATCTATATTTAAACACGAGGGATTACCATTTAAAAGCGCAATGTAATGTCCCACAGACCAACTGGGGCAACAATGCTGCGTCCCATTCGCTTTGTGACAATATTCTTCAAAGTTTTTGCATTTGCGAACTATCCTGTGTTCTAAACGGCAAATGGATTTTAAGTCCTCCGCTGTCAGTAAGTTTTGTCCATTCTTAGCACTAAACACAATTTTCACTGTCAGTCTACCCTGATTGAATGTTTGTTCTTTACTGCATATTGCAGGAGCATTTCCAATCTCCTGTTCCCCTATTGTATACTTCATTCCACATCTAACAGGAACTCTAGTAATTTCGCCTCTGTGTTCGCTATAAAAAAGGTTCACTTGACTTCGCCAACGATCACTGATTATCGTACCTCGTGCTTCAAATCCCTAGAAAAAACCCCCACAAAAATAATGTTATTTATTTTTTATCAGTGAAAATGAAGCAATTTGATTGGCTGGGAGCCTTTCAGAGCGGGCCGGTTTTTTGCATCCGGCCCATTCTGAAACGCAACTGCCCACTGTGAAATGCAACTGCCCGTTCTGGCTTTCGCGACAAAAACTGAGGAGTGAAACAATTTTTTAAAAGAAAAAATCTGCCAAAAACGTTTGAAAAACATAGCCTAACGATAGTCAGAATACAAAAATGAATTGCATCAAGCCCTAAAGACTTCATAGCTAAGCACGATGTTCACCAGAATTGACAATATTTTGATAGAAATGCCACTGAAAGTCGGAAAATTATTCGACATGTATAAAAGTTACGTCGAGAAAACTACATATTTTTTAAATGCTCATGTATTCGGCCACTTAAAAGCGAAAAAATTACAGCTCAAACAGTTATTGTAAAATAAATGTTTTCCCATTTAAAAAAATTTTTTTTTGCAGCAGTGAAAACAAGTCACGAATATATTCTCTACCCATTTGTGTCATACATTCTTCACTGATATAAATATTGTAAACAAAGTAAAAGTTTGTGTTTAAATTAAAAACAATTTTTTCAAGCATATTATCGTGAAACGACAAGAAAAAATACAAAAATATAAAAACAACATACCCTTTTCATTGACCTTTTAGTAGAAAAACGTTGATTAAATGAAAACAGATTCATTTTTATATGTTTTTTATCTGATCTGAACATGAACTTGTCGTTGTCAGGAGCAACTGATTTTGCCAAAGCCAAAACGCCAGGCATAAAAGTTTTTATTCCAAAGCTTCTCTTCTATACCATATTCATGAAAAAAGCATGTACATTTTTACTGAAACTATACGTCTTTTTGTGTGTTTCTTGCCAGTTTTCTCGAGTTTTCGTATCGTGTTTTATATCATTCAACTTTTCAAATTTCAATTTTTGTCAGCCTCGCTTTGAAAATACACAACTGCACTGATCTCAAATTAGTTCGCAAGCAACACTGGAATTTTAATCAATTTAATTTTTACATCTGATAAAAAATAAACACGTTAGTTACCGGCAGCGTCGGTCCGGAAGAGAAAAACTGTGCCCTCGGTCTTGAAAACGTCCCTCGCCCTTCGGGCTCGGGCCGTTTTCAAGACCTCGGGCACAGTTTTTCTCATCCGGACCTCGCAGCCGGTAAATAACATATATATTCTTAACGTGGCTTTCCACGTTCAATAAATGTGAAATTAAAGGCCTCCTTTTGTTTGCCAAAACCATAGAGGTATTTCTTGTACACTTGAAAGAGTCTATGAGCTACGATTTTATGTCAAGACGACCTGACCAGTTCACGGAGCGCATGTTTGGGATTTCCTTTCTCATATACCATTTCACTGGTCGAGTGATTCGAAAAATACCAAACATTTTGCCGGAGTTCCCGGATCATCTGGATTCCCAATTTTGAAAGACGTAGCCTACCTTGAAAGGCTTAGTGAAATCCGGTAATGGCTGTGCTCCAAGCTGTGGAATAAAACTAAAACTTCCAGATAATATCATCAACACTGCGATCAATACGAGAAGAATATACGGATGTTTCACAATAAATGTAGCATATCTTGCATATCTGAAAAGGAATATATACATGTGTGTAAGATTTTTGGGTAAGTGCTCGAAAGAATATAGATCGACAGTTTAAAGAGCATAGTTTTGCTTTACCTCAAGATTACCACCACAACGTTAACCTGTAACAAAACTGCTTTCAAACTTTGTTTTGTTGTTGTATTCTTATTCCCTTAATATGTCCCTATACATTAATTCCTTACTAACTGTTAATAACTAATCCTGCTACAAACGTTTATAACGTAACAAATAAGGTTTGGTTGTTCTTTTCTTCAGTGATATAAAGTTTTTCAAACATTATTTGCATATTTTTTGAATCTTTAAAGAACTTGCGTGCTTTATTAAGATTTACCAAGATACGTTGAAATCTTGATTGTCTTTTTCTTTTCCAAAGATATTTCGAAAGTTAGTTTAATTTAAGTATCATTTGATTACTTTTCGTTTTGATGAGATTTACTGTGGTTTCGATATTGTTCTTCTGAATGTGTTTGCTGCCATTCCAATGTAGTCCATGTCTCGTGCTGCATGTGTTGTTTGCGATAACATGGAAGGTACCTTCCAGTTTGCATCCAAGCTAGAGTTCGAGTTAATATTGTCGGTATTTCCGCTAATTTCCGGTATTTTCCTAGCTGCTCGGATTCTTGCTTTTCTTTTTAAAACATGGAAATAGAATAAAATGTATGTAGAGTATATTATTTTAAATCATTTGCATATTTTCAATTCATATCAGTTTTCATTCGCTCTGGCCAATGTCCAGACTGCATAATACACTATGTCCTATGTATATTTTAGTATCGTTAAACAATCTGCAGCGTTATACCAAAGACGTATGGATCAAGTCGGATCGGGCGAAGCCCGAATCAACTTTAGAAGATTTAGGGCGAAGCCCGAATCAACTATCACCTCATAGAAATCGAGTACATAATTTAATTGTTATAGTAGAACCAAATATCAAACATAAAATGTTCAAGTTCGTCCACAGAAAAACGCGAGCCGTAAGCTATTAAAAAAAAACATGCGCCAGGAAATTGAGGAAAATGATTGTTTTGCTACTCGCTATCTAACGAGGCTCTGCTATCGAGGAATAGATGTATGTATGTATGTATGTAAACTTTTATTTAAAGCAAAAAGGGAAAAAAAACGACGCTAGCCTCATCAGCTACAAGCTGGTTTCCATGAGAGGCGTCGGAACACACTTGAATAAATAAAGTTATTTACAAGAATATTTACAAGATATTTACAAGATTACGAAGAAATAAGTAAGTTATGTATCAAGACTATTAATATTCATTTTAAAGGTATATTCAGATTGAGCTAGTTTTTCTTGCAAAGGGAGGCTATTCCAAAGTTTCGCCCCGCTAAATTTAAAGCTATTTTTGAGGAATTCTCTTTTGGGATGTGGGAGAACCAAATCAGTACACGAATTTCTAAGATTATAATTAATTTCCAGAGCAGTAATCCTAGTGAACGATTCTTTCAAACTCGATACACCTTGATTATTTAAAATTCTATACATTAAGATTGCTTTATTCCTTTTACGTCTCACTTCTAGTGCTGCCCAACCAAGAGTTTCAAGAACGTCAGCCAATGGAATTTCATAACTAGCACCAGCAATTATTCTAGCCGCGCGATTTTGAAATTTTTGAAGTTTTTCCTTTAAATAAGCACAACAATTATCCCATAGGGGAGAACAGTAATCAAAATATGGCTGCGTAAGGGCGTTATAAATCAATCTCATAGTTTCAATAGGGACAAACGGCTTGATTCGTTTCATAACTGCTATTCCAGAGCCGATACAATGATGTAATCCTTCGTTTTGGTGGGGTGGTGTTGTAATTTATTTATAGCTAGCCATTTACTAATTTGGTTTAAATCGGAATTTAATTTCTCTATTAGATCTGCATATACAGTAGAAGATGCAAATATCTGGGTGTCATCAGCATATAAACAGGGAGTAGTTTTACTGAGACACTCTGGTAGGTCATTTATGTAGAGTAAGAAGAGCAATGGTCCTAGAATAGAGCCCTGCGGCACACCGGTTACAATCTTTTTAGGAGAGGAAGATTGCTCATTAATATTGCACACCTGTTCTCTATTCATAAGGTACGACTCAAAGTCTCAAACCAGCCTAGCTCAATACTAGTACGTAAGACCAAATTGTGTTTTCATTTTGTGTAGCAATATTTTGTGATCAATAGAATCAAATGCTTTTCGTATATCTAGGAAAACAACTCTGATCAATTTCCCATAGTCCAAATTTTGATGCCATTCATCACACATTGGCCGAAAACCGGAATGATATTTTGATAAAAGGGAGTTGTCATTAAGAAATTTGTATAATTGATCAAAAACAGACCTCTCTAGTATCTTACTTATGACAGGCAAGATCGAAATCGACCGTTATTTTTCGCATAATCGTCTATCGCGGGATTTGTAAATTGGTAATACGCAAGTCTTTTGCCATGCGTCAACAAAAATTCCGGTTTTTAAAGACAGATTAAAAATCCAAGTTATTGATGGTGCAATAATATCTGCAGCTATCTTGAGAGCACGAGAAGGTATCATATCGATGCCAGTTGCTTTTGATATTTTAAGATTACGCAACCCAGCAGTGACAAATCTTCCACTCCTATTTCAGAAAACTTAAAAATTGTGCTCGATCGTGGGGTATTATTAGTCTTTGTCGCATGCATCGAGTCACTGCAGGACTCAGAAGCTAATTTTGAACCAATGGAGACAAAAAAAACTCATTAAAAGTTTCCGCAATTACACAATCATCTGAAGTGGAAGAATCGTCGACACAGAGTTCCGTAATGTTATTATCTTTCGAGGTCTTACCAATAAGGCTGTTAATTAATGACCAACTTTTCCCCACATCATTAGACTGAGCACTTAATTTAATTTATCATAGAAAATAGAGTAGCAAATAGAGTAGCAAATCAAATTACAGCATTTGCAATAGTAAACTAGTACGATTCTATATAAAATATAGCTGACGTGATACACTAAAATATCTTTCTGCATAAGCAAATTAGGGGGGTTTGAGGGGCATGCCCCCCGAGATAATTTTTGAATTTTTAGACTCTGAAACTACATTTTCACTGTTTTATCATTACAAAACACAGTCTCTTCCCCATGGAAATGCGAATTTTCTCCTTCAGGGATTGGCGGCTAAATTTTCTCAATATGAAACAGCACTCATATAAATGATCAATTATAATAAAGGCTAATTGTAAAACCCAATATAGAGAAACAGGGGCAGGGGGTGGGGGAGGGGAGAACAACCACAATTAATTTGTTCAGGGGGAGGACTATAGCCCTCTCGGGAAACTGTAGCCCCTCTCCTGTAGGAGAAAAAATTGCATGTCGTTGGGGAAGAAACTAATATGTTTTGTAACGATAAAATACAAGAAATTTAGTTTTTAAATAGAAAATTTCTCAGGGGAGCATGCCCCCAAGTTACTCACGCCGCAAAATATTTTAGCGCTCATAACAAATTATCCCCCTGTCGGGGACCTTAGCCCCTCCGTTGGGGATTCATACCGCGAAATATGGCAGTGAGCACACCTGTGTCAACTTTTGCCAAAAATATGCCTGTCCTCTGCCGCGTTATACGTGTTGATCACCAGGGGGCAGGCTTTTTCCACCAGGGGACATTAAGACCTATATACTGAAATAAGTACTCAAATAACCAAAACATTAACATTATAAAACTCGTATTTTGAATTTTCTCTGGGGATAGCACGGGGGGAAGTTGCCACTGTTCCCGCACTCTGTATACGGCGCTTTTATTAGGAGAGTACTACATATAGATCTTGGCTCTGTTTGGGTAAAATAGTCGAAAAAGTACAGTACGGATCGATAACAAGAACAGCGACTGATATTTGATATTACCTGTGATAATGCTATACCGCATCAACAAGATAACTAATTACTATATCAAATTGTGTTAAAACATGCTACATCGCTTATCGGTAGTACAAAATATTTTTGGTTGAATTTCAAAGTTCAAATTAAGAGCGCTGAATGGTAGGCTATTTTCAATTTTTTACCACTAAGAAAACTATAGATACTGCGGCGATGTCATTGTTTACACTGAGTAGCTTTCCAGACGATAAGTATATGATGTATGGCCAATTTATATTACATGGCACTAACATTTTATTAAAACGAAATTTCAAACCTTGGCGAGGATTTTCTCTTAGAGCGGATGGACTTGCTCGATTCGGCCATAGA